ATTCGGGCCCTGTCTCTGTGGCACTGCATGCACCAGGGCTGTGCAGAGGGCTCTTCAGCACAGCACCAACCCCTCCTTTCATGGCAGAATTCTACTGTCTCTTCCAACCTGCCCTTCAGGTGTGGCCTGTGCTGAAGAGATTGCTCTGATAAATCAGTGATTACTGATCCAAATAGAAAAGTGTGACTCCCCTCAGCAGAAACCAAAGATCATGTTCTCCAGCAAAAAAATTCTGCATTTTCAAATGCTGTGATTAAAAATCCAGTTTCAGAAACACATAACAAATACAAAGCTGAGAGCTCTTCGAGCTGGGCTAGAGCTGATTTCCCTGGGCAGCCTGTCTTGGAGTTCCTCTGGTTGCTAAGATACTACCAGTGTTACCTTCCACTCTGTCTTTGGGATTTGGAAATTTATATTTAACCCCTGTACAAGTCTCCTCCACGGATTGCCTCCATGCCTTTACCTTCCCTTTCCTTTGGGAAGGAGCAGGTGGGCAGTGTAGGTGAGATTCTCCTCACATACAGAGCCCCCGACCTGCAGTTCCTCCCGTGGAGCACTCCTACCTTCCAACCACTTACAATCTGGCCTGGTAGATACAACTGCTTTATTTAGAAGTTAACAGTTTTAAGGTTGTGTCACACCAGGTAATGTGGACTCTTCTATAAATACAAAAAACTTCACCGCCCTAAAAGATGCCAGAAAATCAGAGGGTTCTGATTTTCAAAGTTAACTTTCAAATTCTATGCTCAAATACCTGATTGCCTCAATCCAAATAATGTTAATGTGTAAATGGTTTGTATTTTAGTGCTGTACTATCAGTGCTGATCCATCAGGAAGCCTCCAGGCTGTGGAAGTTATCATCTTCAGGATTTTTTAAAATGATGATGTCCATTTTCAGGAGAACTGGAGATGGAATGATTGGAAAGAAACTTGTTCTTTAAAGTTCATGGCTCTCACCAAGCGTGATTAAACACTATATAATTTAACATTATTTGCTGATAGAAAATCAAAGCATTTGCCCCCAGCATGGTGACATTTACAGCAGTGGAGAACGTTTGCACATTTTATGCTTATAATAACAGATGAGGTATGAAATGGATCCTGATAATGCTCTGAACACCCTGGAAGTCTCATCATTTATCACAGCAGATGGGCTTGCTCTGGCTCCCTACCATTATTGGGATATATTCCTATGCACTAGAAGTAAAGAAAAACTTTATTTTGATGACAGATAGTAGATGAATCTTCAAAAGTCCAGTGGGCATGTTCTCCTCAAGCAAGCCCCACTGTAGTGCTGACCTCACTGGGTTTGAGGGTTTTTTTGTTACTAAAGGCTTGGGTAGATAAATAGCTGATGTGGATTGTCTGTGGCTCCCTACTGCAAAGAGATCATATTCTCTCCTGAGATACTCAGCTGTCCAGTTCTGTGAAAATATGATGTAGTACAAATAACCAGTTATGTGAAGCATTCTCAAGAAACTGCAAATAATTTTGAATTTTGAATGAATGCAAGTCAAATGCACATGCAGTGCCAGAATATTCCTCTTAAATAAGCTGCCTTCAAAATCAGCATTAGGATTTAAAATATTTATTTGGTGTGTGCTTGGGCTCCATTATTGAAAAGTGTTGGAGAATCAGAGTCCTCTGGGCTCTGAATTTTAGCTTTGGGTTTTTTTCATCTAAGAACTAATAGCTGCAAGCACAATTCCGGCTCTTTGATGTCTCTGGACTGTATTCCTTCCTTACTGTGAAATTGAAGATTATGAAATGGAGCAAAGGATCTTAAGAACAGATTCCCATAATTTATATACATTCCAAATTTTTGAGAAATTGCATTTGAATCTTTAGAGCATCAAATAAGATTAAAAGCAAGTTCATTTTAGCCTATTGCAGGTGTGTGGCTCTTCTCACAGTCCTCTGCACGTCACTGAGAACAGCCATGGATGCAAACTTCACTTGTTTTACTCACAAAACATGTTAGGTGGGCTCTTCAAGCCCCAGGTGACCTCTGAACAACCCTTGAAAGTAGTTTTAGATTTTGTTTGGAAAGCTCCAGAAGGTCTTGGATATGTTCATGTTCTTCCTTTATCATTCCAGTGCACTCCTGGTCCTGGTACTTACTTGTCCATCTCTCCTACTCCACCCCTTGTCCACAGGAACAGAATGAAGAGGCTGCTCTGCTCTTCAGATCCTGGTTTAGACCCTGACATTCCTGCTGGTGCCTAAACACTGTGAAAGAGGAGCCATTCCGCTCCAGCATATTTAGGTGTTTGTTCTTCCTGGCAAAAGTCTTTAGAATTAAAGTATTAACAAAACAAGATGGGTACTAATAAAATCTCAGTTGAATCCAGCTGATTTCAAAGGAGCTCTATTGACCTGCCTATTGATTTACATTTGTCCTTGTTTGAATAAAACCAATAAATGTACAGGAGTTCCCTAAATGATTTGTTTGAGGTTAAATAGAATAATGTTAGTAAAATAGGGAGCAATACAAGCATACAAAAGGAAGGCAATGTATTGGCTACTTACTGTAAATATTTTTACTGCTTCCCCTCCCAGTCCCATAAAGATCATGTCTCAGCTTTGTGGTGTTGAACAATACTGGCAAGAACAAAGCAGCAGCTTTGGTTTCTCTGAAGTCAAGGTCAAAATTCAGGTTCTGTGGAGCCAAAACTTGACCCTTTAGTTGTTTATGTTGATAATTTATAGAGCTCAGCTCTCCTGCTGAAGAACACAATAACCACACAAGTTCTTGGGGAAAGAAAGCTGCAAAGTGTGGTTAGAGGTGGGAGCAAACTGCAGTATCTGCACTGGGAATGGTGGCTAAATAACCTTTGCCTTCAATGCCTTCACACAGCAGATTGATGCTCCTCTGATATTTTTGGAAAAATAATGATTCAGACTCTATTCAAGCTCAGTCTTGTTTGTGGAGTTGAGAATAAGCAGAGAGACAGGCAGCAAGTTCCATTCACAGTTGTCTCATGGACTGATAATTGCAGCAAGTTCCAGTCACTGGCAATGTCAAAAGTACTTTATAGATCTTCAGTGTTATTTGGTTGTCTCTCTAAATCCCACCCCCTGTGATCATTATCTTCAAGAGCCTCTTGTCTCCACGTTTATATTTTTACTCATCAGTGCTGCTTACAAGTACCTAATCATCCCACATCCTGCCTGCAGTCACCTTTCCCCTAAAGCAAAGAGCTCTGTACTCGTACACCACCTCAGACTGCAATCAAACAAATGAATTAAACATTGCAGCATCAACCAACAAATGGCAAAATAGATGCAATTCATCCTTGGGAAAGTGGCTTCTGTGCTGCAGCATGATGCACAGCTATCTCCACAGAGTTTTAAAGCTGCTTTTATATTTCTGAGATATATAAGAGGACAAACTGGATTCCTTTCTCTCTCCCACCTGAGTAGTTCTTGATTCCAGCAGATAATCAGCTATAACTGTCAGAGACCACATCTCCAACTTGCTGTGCTAAGGCAGACATGCACGAAGTGTAGACATGGGTGTGCATTTCCTGCACCCTGTGATAAAAACACCCAGAACAACTCCCCTGTGCTGAGAACGTGATGATGGCTCCTCACTGACCACTGCAGGCAGCCGGGGATTGCATGTGACTCAGGCAACAGACCTGGCAGGTCACCTCCTGCTCTCCTCTGTGTGAGATGCCACCTCCAGGTTGTCATGTAGGCACAGCTCTGTACAGCTCAAAGCACTGCTGCAAATGCAGTGTCATTAAATAATACCATAGACTGAAATAAAAAGAATGCAGTAAGTTCACATAACCCCCATTAGGTTTAATGTTGTATAGTCCAAGTGGATGAAATGTTGAATATCACCGGAGGATACATTAAAAAGTGAGACACCTGTTCTGTTGTGAAACATTCACGTTAGAATTAATGGAACGTGGATCTCGACAGTATTATTAAATGTGTCTTGAAATAAATAAATAAAGCTACCTTGGAAATCCAGTTAGGTCTAAAGAACCCATTTAGTAAATACACTTTCCTCTCTTCCAAATACATCCCTCAGGGGACTTTGCTGTCTTACTGTAGGCTTGCTTTCACTGGAAAAAAAGAAGTCTTTTAACTCTCAATCCTCCCTCCCAAAAGGATTGACAGTCCCAGCTAATTTGCCTCCTGATCAAAGGGAAGTGCCTGCTGCCCATGTTTGGAACACGAGCTGGTCACGGTCAGCTCTTCCCCAGGAGCAGAGCAGACCCTGCTGCTCCCAGGGACTGTTCCTGGGTGAGGCAGCATTTCCTCGAGGAGCAGCTCTGTGCCCCGGGGTAGGAGTGCCAGGGACAGCTCTGGAAAGCTCTGCAGCAGCTGGAGTGCAGGGGCCAGGCCTGTGCAGGGGCTGCCTTTGTTTATTGCAGCCTTCTCTCCCCTCAAGGATGGGGGAGTTCCTCCATAGTGCAAACTCTCCACCCCCTGGAGCATTTTGTGGTCAGCTACCACACAATCCAAGGCACAGTTTGTAGGTCGGGCTGGAGAATTATTTAAGACAGCCATGTAAACCTGGATTCTTTTTTTCTTTTAACTGAAGTAACTATTTTTGGGACTCTTCCACTTCTTTCATTCCCTGACATAAAGAGCTTTTAGAGGCTATTTTGGTGGAGACCTAGATCAATCCTTCCTTCACTCCCCTTCTTAGAAGGGCCTTCCCTTAACTCTGCCATTTCTGAACCCAGCTGTCCAGGCAAAATGCAGGGTAGAACAGTTTGGCAGAAACTGTGATGAGAAAACATGAAATTAATTCTTGGCTTTCAACTCAGGAATGTCTACAGGTCTTCCAGATTTGCTTAAACATGACTTGTGTGGCCCCTTGCACATTCAGGTGAGTTTGTTACCTAGCTTTTATGATGACCATTCCTACTAGGGAGGGGAATAGCTCCCTGGAAACATGAGTTTGCTGCTCATGGAAAAGGAAATCCCCTCCTCCACCTCTGTTTTTTTCCTCTCAGCAACACACCAAGTCATGACCATATTACATTTATTACTACAAAAACACTTCACATTTTGTAATAAAATGTGTCAGAAATTGACATCTTCTTTAAGTTCAAAGGAAATGGACCATTTAACATAAAAACATGGCTATGAATTGTAGAGGCTTGATCTTCAGTCTTGTCACCCCAGGTCCATTCCCAGCTGGTGAGCAAACGTTTGAGCAATCTCACACTCCATTAACAGTAGTCTCAGCTATGCTTAATTCCCTTCATTCTGTACATCATGCAAAAAATCTCTTTCTGAATTGTTTTACAGCTGACAATTAATACTTTAACAATGGCAGTTCTACATATGCTCTGGCTACCAGAAGTTGCAGTGGCAGATACGCTGCTCAATTTTACCTGAGTTGCTTTAAAGTAAGAACCTAAAGAGTCCACTTACAGTAATTATTATAACACACAAATTTAAATTAGTATTTGCTAAGTAGGTTATTAAATAGATCACACATTGTGATAGTATTAAATACCTAAATTAATACAGCATGTATAAAAAAGGATAAAAACCTACTTAGATCAGAACCAACGGTAGATTCACAAAAGTACAAATAGATTGACTTTAAAACTAGTTAAGATTTCATCCCACATTGTGAAGAAAACTTGGGAAATGGTCTTACTAGTCAACATTTCTATAAGAAATACCAAATCACCTTTCATTGCATTGCAATAAGTAGTGATGATGGTGACATCTTATGGGATTTTTTTTCCTGCATCTTGTTGTCCTGAGATACTGAAAAGGGTGAACATATTATGCATATTTTGGTCATTCTACACCATGTACTTACTGCAATGTGATTAGTGACCTTCATATATGGCTTGTCAACATCTCCACTACTGAGATCTCATCAACCACTGAACGTGACCAGCTGTGGGGAGGAGCACGATTTATACTTGACTGAATGCAACAACACTACATTAGAATATAAAGAATGGAAGGAAGAAACTGAATTTCTAGATGAAAAATCAGGGACAACTTTAGAATTCTACGACATAAATCCATGAATATGACTTGTTTTATCTGTCTGCTTTTGTAGGTATGAAGAAATAGATTCCACTTATCACAGAGTTGTCTTGGCAGTTCTTGCAGTTCAGTATTTGTATTCTTCTTTATAAACTCATTTGTCCTTTTCTTAACAATATCAGGTCAGACCACTACCTGCATAAAAGTACTGAGCTTACTGTTCAGGGAAGACAGGCTATGGACCTGATATTGTTACATGTATAAAGTCCATATATTAAAACCTGGAACATTCTCTAGTGTCTTTCCATTTTTTTTATCCTTCAAGTACCTTTAGTACCCAAAGGTAACATTTTTTTCCCAGCAGAACTGTAATTTTTAAGCTAGTGAGGTCTTTTTAAGACTTTGATAGTAAAAGCTAGAGTGGGATGTGTTGCTTTAAGACTTGATTTAATAAGGAATGGATCCTCCTTCTGTTACCTCAATAGCATAATAACATTGAAACCTCATTAGTACAATTGTTCCCTATTAATGTGGTACAAAAAAATCCATTGAAATAAATAGATTTGGCAATTCTCAGCAAGTGTGTGATGCTCAAGTAACGTTCCTCTAACATGACAAAACCAGCAAGGTCAAGAAGTCACGTCATGGCAAAGCCAGACAAGATTTGCACCTGGGAGAGGCTGCACAGCAATGCTGCTGCTGCTCCACGCTCCTCTCTCCACCTGCAGTGAGCTCAGCAGAGATGGGCCCTGTTTGCCCTCAGGTCCCTCTCCAGGTGGGTCATTGGCACAGCTGGCTCAGAGGGTCACTGCGCTCACCGAGCGCCGGTGGCTCCCGTAGCTAAAACTGGGGGCACTGTCTTTGCTCACCTGGCCACTGTCCTGCCCAGGAGCTGCTCCCCTGCTGGCTGCAAGGGGACCTGGGCCAGAGAAAGGTCCTGAGGAAGAGTCTGTGGCGGCACATTCTTCCTCTGCCCACCTGTTATAGAAATAGTAGCCCTCTTCTGGTGCCCCTTTCCCGAGAGGATTCACTGCAGAGCTGGAAAATCCCTGAGCCTCTGTGTCCCCCTGAGACACAGCTGCTGCTGCTGGGTGTAGAAATGGGGACACACACAAGTGGCTGATGCTTTGGTCAAGGTCATCATTACACGCAGGTGATGCCACAGGTGCACCAGAAGTAGCTCCTTCTCTTGATCTCAGTTTCTGGACTTCGAGATCCTGTTGTCCTTTAGGAAGTTTATCTATTTGCTGTGCTTTCAGAGTCAGAGATGCTCCAAAGGTTCCTCGTAGAGCAGAAACAAGGAACCTGATGAAAGAGAAAGAGAATGGATTATCTTAACAGTGGGCTCCTTCCATAACCTCATCACATAACACAAATCCAGCTGCTAATTTTCCATTGCTCTACAGGCATCTGGTAGACACCTTATACCTGGCAGATGAAAGCTGACTCCTGGATCTTAACACAACAGAGAGTCAACTATATGCATATATGATCATTTACTTAGTATTTACAACTACTCAATTGCTGACCTGTGAAGAAAGAGACCCAAAAGTTCACCAAGAGATGCAGCATTTGAAAATATTAAAATTCTATTTATACTGCTAAAACAGGCTAAAGAAAGGATCTTAATTTGGTAGATAACAGGAAACCAGAAAGTTTAAAACCTCAGCTTTTGGATTTGCTCAGAAAGCAGCAACCAAAAGGTGTCCTACCTGCCCTTTGCAGGATAGAGAACTTACATAACCATATATTATGTGCAGTGAGAGAGCACACATCCTCTCTCCATGTCATGTCAGCTTTGTGTGAAAACCAGTGTCCCCTTGAAAGCATCTTTTTATTAGGATTTGACCTTTACATAGATGGCCTCAACATGCATTTTAAAACAAACGTGGGGACACGTTTGTTTGCACTGAGAAAGCTGCTGTCTTCCCATCCTGCTGCTAAATGTATGTGTAAATTAGTGTGACAGGAGTAAGAAGGCTAACAAGCCAGACTCAGTACAGAAAGGGCTTTTAAGGCAATGGATTTCTCAGGCTTGCACCAGCAGGAGTGGAGGAATTCCATTTGTGTGCCTGTGCTCAGGCTGGGCAATCCCAGAGTCTCAGCTCTGGCTGGGCAGCCCAGAGCACAGCAAGGGTGAGCCCAGGGCTGTCTGCACAGATCTGGATCAGACTGTCCTCTGGCTTTCCCCTCAACCTTCCTCTGGATCTTCTGGACCAGTTGCAGGTGGACCAGACAGGAGGACAGACAAGGGATGGAAAACGTGTCTTCCATCCTGTGAACTGCTCTCACTTGCTCCTGCCCTTCCCACAGCCCTGCAGGGGCTGTTGGGTCTCTGCAGGTCCTGGCAGACCACTCTGCCTTCCACAGCTGGACAAATACATCTGGTTTGTATGTTGAAATCCTCCAAGAGACTTCCCTTGCCAGTGAACAAACATGAAATTCAGATCCCTTTCTTGTCAGAATTGAAGATTTTAGGACTTAATGCTGTGCAGACACAACTTAATGTTGTGTCTCAAAAGTGCAGGGGCAGTTCTGAGGTGCAGATGTGCAGAGGGCACACTGCAAAGCACTGCCAGATGTTTCTGCAGGGAGAGCCTGGAGCAGGCAGGGCACAGACCAGACCCCCAGAGGGCTGGGGTGTCTCAGGCCTGGCAGCCAGAACAGGAGGCAGGACTAAAAAGGAAGAACTGAGGAGAGCGAGGATTTTAACAAAACCTTGTAGACAGAAACCAGAATGTCAGGGCTCTGTCCCTGAAGAAGATAGTGAGCAGGCAGCATGCTGAGATGGACCATGGAATGGAACTGAAAACACAGGGTATTTTAGGAAAGGGTGGTTTCACCACTGCTGTGGTGGCACAGCTCACTTGCAGCAGAAACTGGAGGGTGGACAGTCTGTGAACAGAGGACTCTGCAGAAAATAATCTGCAGTACCTACATGAAGGGAAAGCAGTTCTCCAGCTTTGAAGATGCCAAGATAAAATCCTTAAGCTCAGCAACCTGCTGAGGCAGCAAGGATCTCAACTGTGCTGAATTGCCAGGATGGAGATGCGAGTTCTCTAAGCACGTGTTTGAGGCAGCACTCAGTAGGAAGCTCAGGGTCAAAAATGACCCTGTGAATGAGGCCTGACAGGAAAACAAAACTCACACAGGAGCAAAACAGGCTGGAAAAGGGTGCCCTGCCTAGAAGACATGAGACCTTACTGAACTATGTGTTGTTTATTCTCATCTGAACTTATGTAATGGAACATGAAGTCACAAGAGCATCTCAACTCAAATGGGGGAATAATAATAACAATTTGAAGAAAAAGACTATCTAGTCTTGAAAGGTTCCTTTTCAGACAAAGTTAAGGCTCAGTTCTAATGCCTTAAAGCACTTACAAAATCAGATACTAAAAATATTTTCCTGATTCTTGCAGTACCAGTGTGCTGCACTACTTCATGGCAATTAGGATGAGAAGGGAACTAGGAATCTAGTCAAACCAGCTCAGATGGGTGTGCTTTCACTGTCCAAGCACAAATAAAGAATTTAAATAAATGGTGCAACTCAAACAGTGTATATCTGCATAAAGGATTAGTTAAGGTATTAAGCACCAAAAGTAGTAAGCTTCCCATATACATATATGGAAACAGAATACTTTTGTTTTTCAAACCATTTTTTTTTCAGCAATGTATCAAAATAATTATCCCTCTCCAAATATCCAGTCTCACTTAAAGTTATCTTTAACATACCTGATTTGTTGCAGAGAGTAAAATAAAATTCTGGATGAAGAAAATGTTTTCATACAGAAACATGTTCTTAAATGTAGCTTAGTAATGAACTGCAAAGTCCTTAAGAAACAGAATATATTTTGTAACTCTCAAAGCTTACAAGAATATTGCAAAGACTTGCCTTCTAGTCTTGATCAGCTCAACCACGTTGTGTTCACGAGAGTGAACAGTTACATAGCAGCTTTGTACTGGCAAACTTTGAAGCACCCCAGAAAGAAAGGTTTTCTCGTGGGAGAACAAGCAGTAGATATACAGTGACTTATCTCAGGTTGTATAACTGAACAAACGGGTGGTTTGTGAACTGGAAAGTCAAACCCAGGCATCTGAGTCCCCCACTGCACCATCCCCGTGCAGCACACGTGCCTGGCACATCCCATATCTGCACACAGGGCTGCTGGCACTGCCCTCCAGTGCCTACAGATGCACACAAGGAAAAGCGAGGGGAACGCGTTCCAACCTTGGCAGGAGCGCCGTGACCGGGGTGATGAGGCACAGCAGGTAGAAGGTGGGCTCTGTGAGCTGTCTCTCCATGATCCAGTAGGGGTTGGAGGGAGGGTTGCAGAGCAGGCACACGGCATTGTAGATCAGGGAGAAGACGAGGTAAAACCCCACGCTGCAGATCATTGCCACCAGCTGGGACAGGGTCTGTGGGAAGGGCACAGGAGGACAGTGGGGCCTGTGAGACCCTGGGTGTAACACAGCAGGAGACAAAGACAGCTTGGAAAGAATTTATCCAATAGGCCATTTGACTGAAATGTGCAGTAGGAGAAATAGCCAGAAATGAACTCAGAAAACAACAGTTCTCTAAGTAGCACGTCCTCATATGAAGTATGCAAATATTGTGTTCTGTGCTGTCCAAAGGCACAGTACGAACAAATTCTGTGCACATGAAGGTGTTATCCTGGGGCTAATAACAAATTCTGGCACATTGTGCAGTCTCAGTGCATCTGTTACTTACTTTCTGTGACCCAGAATTCAGGCAAATGACTCTGAAAGACAATGCCATGCCTGCACAGGGTGCTGTGTTCCCAAAAACACAATAGTCCTGTCACCAGGGCAGGGCAAACACATACCCACGTTTTCATTTCCAGAGCCTGGTGCAAGAGAATGGTCAGGAGGGAGATGGTGTTGATGAGGTTTCCAAAGGAAATCACATCCATGTCAGAGTCCTTGTACACCTAGAAAACAGGCAGAGGCAATGTGAGGAACCCTGCCCATTCAGAAGTGAATTTTCTCCTTTTTAAGGAGAACAGGAGAATGAGAATATTAATGAGCCTGTTACTTACGGAATAGGGGACAAAGAAGCAAATGAGGCTCTGATAGAAGGCATCCAACATCGTGATAATAAAAGTTGACAGGTTGTATATCTGCAGGAGTTTACAGATAACAGTCATTAGGATGGGACACATATCCCTAGCCTGTCCTGCAGACATAATTGCTGCCTGTTTTTATTCCATTCAGACTACTGATTAGAGCTAACTGGTCTCCATGAGAAAATGCCTCATGAGCAGCTGATTAAAGCAAAGGCTTATCTCTGAACAGACCTTTTCTCTGTGTTAACTAAAGATAGACCTTAGAACATTAACAGGTGTATTTCTGAACCTGAGAGGAGAAAAAAAAATGTCAGGTTGCTTATTGATTTAAGGATTTGTGTTTTCTTGTCACTTTTTGCTGTAATCTTTTTTAATGAGCTTTTCTTTAGTAGGTTTAGTAGGTTCTTTAGTAGGCTGAGAGTGTTTGAAGCACCAAATCTGAGCCAAGTTTAACCAAGGACCAGATAAACTATTTTACTTTCAGCTTTTACACCTTTTAGCCTGTTTTATTTGTTTCTCCATAAGCCTTCACTGAGAATCCTTCCATATACACAGTGCATATATATATGCACACACACACACGTGTTTGCTCCACCATCCCTTCTTCAATCAAAAAAAAACCAACCACAGGGCTCATTCCCTAGCATGTCACTTCACTTATTATAATGCGACATGCTGGGATTGCTGCTTACATTTAATGGCAGAATAAACCTTCCATTTACATCTTCTGACCATGACCCAGCGCCAGCGTCACTTCCAAGAAGCAACTTCAGCCGTATGTTCCAGCTCTTCTGACAGCTACAATTATGCCTTTTTTTAGTGGACATCAGTAAACTCGACACCATAAAATGGAACAGTTGGTTCCAAATAAGTCTAAACTCTTTTCTTCCTTCACTCATTCCCAGACCAAAAAACCTGTGGTCCTTTGGCTCATCAAGCAGCTACTTCAGCCATCATGACATACCTCTGAATTTTGTCCATTCTTGTATAACTCGGGCAAACCTAGAAGTGTTTCTGCAGAAACATCTTTATCCAGGACTCCAAAGAGAATAGGGGGCACTGAGGTGAAGAAGAGGTTGAAGAAAATCAGTTGCCAGTAATCAATCATGGTGCTGCCTGAGAACCCGCAGAAGAACTGGTACCAGAAGAGCAGGTTGACGTAGCTCTGGGGAGAAGCAAAGACAGACCCAACAGCCTGTTACCAGCTGTGCTGTGCCCTTCCACATGTCCAGCATCTCATTCCTCATGCTGATGTGGTTCCATTTTACTTTGGGTTGTGGGAGTCATGAAGTTCTCCTGTGGCCTCTTCCTTCCATCCCCCTCCTTTCCCCACGCTGTCCCCACTATTGCACCTGCTCTGGCCCCTTCAGTGCCCATGCACAGATGGTCTGGGACTCTCCCAGTTCCACCTCCCAGGTTTGTGTAGGACACTGCTTTGGTTAAAGGTACTGCTGGCAGACAGCCCTACCCCTCCTTCCATAAACAGTGTATCTGAAGGGTCTGCTGCGCAGCAATCCACTGTGATAGAGCTCTTGAAAAGCCATTAGGTTTCCTTAAGAACATATCAGAGAATAATTAAGTAAACTGTTTACAGCTCCAAGCACCAGATTTTAGAATCCTTGCATAAACTGGCTGTCCATGTGGAATGAAAGGGCTCCTGCTCCCTAATGCTGCTGGGGAGATAATAGAACAGCAGCATCCCACTCTGGAGAGATATGTCACATTGCAAATAAATATCCTTTGAACTCTAAAAGGATGGCCAATCAGAAAAAGGAAAGTGTTCATTTCCACTACAAAATTTAACAGTGATAAGAAGTAATCCTTATTCAAAATTATTAAAACCCCTCAGAAAACAGATACTTTGAATTCTAAGTAAATAACCTTTCATGATCAGAGTATATTTCATGTCAAATGGACTTGTTTGTACAGTCTTGTAGAAATGGAATTACTATCCTTTTTCGACTTTACTTTATACTTCAATGCACAGCTCATTTGCATATACATTAAATTTTTAATAAAAATGCCAGGTATGACTGCAGCATTACTTGCAAGTGGTTCCTATAAAAATTCAGACGTTTCACAGGCTAGCAATTCTTAGTGCAGAGTCATCTTCTATATTCTAGCACTAATAATCTGATCTTCCTTATGCAAATTTTATTTGGAGGCTCATGGGTATTATTAATAAAGTTTCTTGAACTACCATATAAAGTTACTAAGCCTTGAGTCCTTTTCCCTCTGGAATAATGCTAGTTTCAAAATATATTTAAAGCCCATATTTTCCTCAGTGCTTTATGCAGCACATTGCTAAGAAAGAAGTGCCACATTATAAACTTGCAAAGTGAAGAAACACAAACTGTAGCTTCATAAAAAGTATGAGTATAACCTGTAAAAAAACAAAACCAGGCCAAAAAACCCAACCCAGCCCTGGAATTAACCCTTACTAGGATGAAAAGTGCCATAATTTTAATAATCTTACCACATTTTTGTAGAAAAAGTAAATCACCATCTTTGCCAGGCGAGAATAACACCAATGTCCATGGACAAGGAGCAGCTTTTTGAGATGTTTAAATCGGGATATTGCAAAGTCACTGGCCATCACTGCCTTTGGTGAGAGGAAAAGCAGGTCATTTACAAAATAGCCTTTTCCCAGCCCTTTCCATATAATGAAGCTTGAACATGGACATTGAAATAATTTCCTACTATTGCATATTGCAGGAAAAACAACCCAAAAAACCAACCCTCAAGAAAATCGTTGGAACTTTCTGCAGAACTCTCCATTTAAGGAGTGTGAGGAAGGGGGATGTGTGGGAAAGAATTCAGGGCAGAAAACAGTGGAAAAGAATCTATAAAACCTGGAAATGCAGTAGCAGAGAGGATTCAGAAAGCAGATGCTAAGCTAACACTGGACAGACATCTGCTAATTTTCCAGACTTATGAGCAAACACACATCTGTCCATGCATGCTAATTGTTGGCTCAAAATGCTGTTTTTTGGCTGGACCCATAATTATGAACTGCATGTTAATTTATGACAGTAATGATGCCAACTTGCATTTTTAAGATGACACTCAAGAGCACAGGGCTGCTATGGGACTTATTAAGCAGCAAGAGACCACATGACAAAAGAGGAATAGAACTGCATTGACAGGATACCTGCATGCCTTCCTGACCAGATATTCCAATTCCAACATCAGCTGCTTGAATCATACTCACATCATTTGCACCATCACCTAGAATGGGAAGAGGGGGGGAACAACAGAAGTGTAAGAAAGGGTGTTTAATGCATAGTGCCTCTATCAGAAGGAAGTAAGCTTAGCTCTGCTGATTATTTTGGCTATTCTGTTCTATCTGCATCCTAATTAGGATAACTGATACTTAGCACCAAGCACTGATGACCTCCAGGCTCTGTCCTTGGTAGGAACATTCTCCCTCCCTTCCAGGAGACCTGGCTCCAACAGTGGGACCAGCTGGGTGGTGGATGGACACCCGACACCATCTACATCTGTATCATTTTGTGTTTCTGCTTGGTGAGCTCCATATGCTCGGCAACACGCTCTGCAGCACCTACTTGAATTCTCCATACTGTGGGATAAATTGGACTGCAGATGACAATGTAACAAGCCAATTTCAGGAGTTATTTTGCTTGTTTCAACTCACAGCAATATGTTAAATACATAACCAAACTTCCAGGGAAAGAACAGCCATGACTTGCAATGTGGGGATGGTAAATCAGGTTAGCTGGTAAAGCAAGGTAGATGGAGCAGAGGGTTGAGAGCTTACATTTTGAACTACAAGGCAAAGCAAAAAAATTTAAAATACAACATACTCTTCCCTTTCTGTTTGGTCCACAGAGGTGTATTGTTTTAGTTGGAAGTCATAAAAATCAATTCTGCAAGGATTTTAGTGGCATCTCTTGCCAAAAGTGGGGCAGAGAACTCAAAACATTTCACATTATTTGGAGGTAAAAGGCAAATGAGTCATTGCTTAATACCACTCTGGGGATAACTCTGTTTTCACCAGCTGGGAAAATCTGACAGGAAAAGGGCTTTATAAAAAGACAAATTAGTGACTACTCTAGAGTGCTTTGCAGGCCCAAAGCAAGGACATTCCAAAGGGAACCCGTACATGTGTTTGTACTGATGTGCATGAAAGGGACTGCTGGGAGTTCCTGAATGTGGAGCACCTTCATCTTGTTTAAAGGGGGCCCAGATTTGCTTGGTGAAAGATGAAGAAGGACTTTCGTGTGTGTTTTGACAAGGAAAGATTATTCAGTAGTGTTTCCTCACTGTGTCTATCTGAGGGACAGCGTGTACGGTATAATCCATACATTTCCCCAACTCTCAGAGGAGGAACCTGCTCCCCCTCCGTGCTGTGAGGTTCAGAGGGGGGTACCTATTGCCAGGGTCATCACTCGGAGCCTCCTGCGCAGCAGCCGGACCACCATGCCCTTCTGCAGGGGCGTGGAGCGGCAGCACAGCACGGAGCGGCACCGCCGCGCCAGCGCCAGCAGCTTCTCCTCCAGGCCCCCCTGCAGGATGAGGGTCAGCGTCTTCCCATCGATCACCAGCCCAAACTCCGCACTGGGGGCCTCAGGGGCCGAGAGGGGTGTTGGGAGAATGCCGAGAAACGTCCTCCGCGGTTCGTCAGACTCGCAATTCTTCCTCACCTCTTCCAGGGTTAAATCCAGGAGAGACTCACAAGTTTCCTGCGAGAAAACAGGCGTGGTTTGAGCAATGCTTGTCTCCATCTCCCTCTCCAGCTCAGCACCTTGCCAAGTGTGTTTGTGTAATCGTGCCAGGGGGTTCAAGCCTATCAGACAGACATCAGCAAAAACTGACTGGAAGATGCACTGGCCCATCTGATCAGGGATTATTGCAACAACATCATCACCCGATCCTTCCATGGAAACACTGAGCGTTTCATCAGCCAGCTGACTGAAGGAAGGAATTATTTTTAAAGAAAATAAAATAATCTTTACATCAGGAGGATGTGTGTGCATTGCAATGCTGACAGTTCAGAAATTAAAAACAAAATCCTTTTTTCTTTTTTTAAGGAGATTAAAATATCTGGTTCTGATATGAATGACGTGAGAAACTGCAGCATTTGCTCCCATCAGAAATAAACTACAGTAGAGAAATAATCAAAATTATCCAGTAATTTGAGAATTTGGCCTTTTCTAGGTCCCATATCAGGTGTGTGTCAGAGTTAGGAACACAAATAAAAATTCCTACTTTCCAGCACTGTGTCTTAAACACAAATTTAGTCCTTCTCTCTCAGCAAATCTGCCTCATTTTGGTCCAAACCCCCTTTTAGATGCAAACAACTGGAATTGACTCGATATTAAATACAAACAGACTTCCCATACAGATTTAAACTGGCACTATCAGAGAACACCCTGAATGATCTTATTTTGCTGCTGCTTAGCAATGAAAGTCCTCCTTCTGTGCATGGCACTGAATACCTGAGGAGCTAATCATTCCTTTTTCTACCTTTTCTGTTAGCTTTATTGAGTGATGATTCAGTTCTAAAACGTTATTTTCACTTTATGTTGCATAAGGTACATGTGTAGGATGTTTGCAAGATTTAAATTACTCTTAAGTGGGAGGTTCTGGAATAAAATGTATCTCTGACATCTAATAAAAATCCTGCACACTCAAAACCTCTAAAAAATACCAAAGAAGTATCACCTTTCTGTGAACAAACCAAAAATTGTAGTGGAAATTCCTGTTTTGCCTTGGCTTGCTTTTGAAATGAATCCCCCAAGCTACCTCCTTACATTGCATCTTCCTGGCAGATATTTAATTTTCAGTGTTTGAATGAGCTGATGGGCTCAGGGGTAAAGAGAAGGCCTTCTACTGACACCCCCTCAAGGCTTAACTTGGGCAAAGCGAACAGGTTGGACTTTGTAGGAGTTGTGTGAGTCCCTCACTGCGCTGGGAGCCCCTTTCAGAGCCAGTGCCTGTGCTCGGTTCTGTTTTGGAAGGGAGGGAACTGATCTGTTTGTGGTGCAGCTGTGGTGCCCAGTGAACCCCTGGGATTCCCCACGTGTGCTCAGCTGTGTCTGAGCCCGGATCCAGAGGGTGCCGTGGGGAAGTGTTTCCTGGAGCCAGGGTGGTCCTGCCTGCAGCATCACTTCCCTGGCAGAAACCATCTCCTAATTTCCATCCTAAATGTATTCATTCTGCCTCCCGTTCAGGCAGATATGCGTATCAAATGAAATTACACATTGAAGCAAGGAGAGCATTCCGTGCCAAATTCCATATCATCTTTGCGTGTTTCCCTATTCCCATGACATTAAAAGAGACAGACATTTGCATAGGATTTTATTCTTTTTTGGAGAGCTACTCACTGCAGACAAAAGCAGTTAGAAAGTAGGCCATCTCACTGCTCTGCACAATTGCCTATCACAAGAAGAACAGTCACTATTTTAACTATGTTTAATTAATCCTCACAATAGCTTTACAGAGAAAGGCAAGCTCATACTGGGGACACTGGTTCTGTGGGGAGAGAAACAGAGGACACCGAGACAGGGGACTGGCCCAGTGACAGAGGGAAGCTCCTCCCCAGCCTCCTGCCAGCCCATGGAAGGGCTGCTCTCACGGTGCCTCCTGTCCCTGCTGAGGGGACCACGGCTGATGCTGCATAAAAGGACAGAGCAGCACTGGGAAAAGGGCAGTGGCTGCTCTAGGAGCACCTCAGGGGCTTCCAGGGCTCTGTGGGAAGTCAGAGGTCACCAGGGAGAAAATGCAAAAAGGGCAATCACACATCTTGGACCCTTCTTCTGGGTTTAGAAATAGTCAGGGCTGACCTCTCCTTAGGAAATGGATCTGGTTTAACCATAATGTTGGACTCACTCTTCCCTAAATCCATCTCCAAAGCCACCTATCCCACCTGGCTGCCCGGAGGGATGAGGTGCAAAGCTCTGCACAGTGGTGGCCATTCTACTTTCTGGAATCAAGGCGTGGTTTTTCTGGCACCCTGCTTGTGTTGCTCCACAACCAGCAAAAGCCAGGGTGGCTTCTCTAAAGCCTTTGACTTTCCCCATCCATGATGGCACTTCCCATCTTGGGAAGGTAGGACTGTGCTTGCTCTGCTCTGTTCAGATGGTGTAGCCCTGGACTGCACCCCAGCTTGCTCACTGTGTGTCAGTGAGTCACAGGAGCTGACAGACCTGCCTTTGAAGTGATTATCCTCATTTGGGAGTGTTTGCTTTGCCTGCTGCCTGCCCTTCTTGTTGCCTGTGGAAATTCAGGGAATATCTGTGCACATCAACAATGACGTGCACCACCATGGAATGCCAAGGAAGTGACTGTGTTTTTAACTGACCCACCAAAACTATATTTGGGTGTTCAAGAAAGTGAAATTCTGCTTACACACAAAGATAAAAAAAAAAATCATTCACTAATAAATTTCTACTGAAGTCTAATCCTATTAGGGAACATGCAGCTAGAAAATTCTGAATTTAATTAGATCTACACGTGTAGACTTTTTCCTGGCTGACTCAAAGTACTTTCCAAATGTCTTCCAAAATATATCACCTAGGGTTAAAATATCATTGTCACTGAAATTTTCATTGTAAGGTGAAAACCCAGATATCAATGTTATTAAGGAATTAGGCACTTAAACTGCATATTACCTTCTTTCTAAAGCTAGTAATTCAGGTAATAGCTAGTTATTCAGGCAATTTCTAAAAAGAATATTTTCATTTGGAAAACCCAGTGTATTCTAATTGAACGAAACTCTACATAAGTGTCTTGTATTTTAAGTCATCCTGTTATGTGTGGTCTACAGAGTTGCTGGCCTAATGCTATGTGGGTTTTTGCTGACTTTTTCGTGCTGAATGTGGTCTAAAGCAAAGCAGCACCAAACTACGAGACACGAAAAAAGGGCAATGTAGCAAATTCTGTAGCATATTCTTGTGCATCTTATCTTTCTCTCCTCACCTTACTCTCAGTGTTGATGGTGAAGACAGTGTCTCTCTGGTTCAGGAGTTTACAGGAGTATGCAATGTTCACTGCTGTCTCCTGTTTGTCTCCTGTCAACACCCAGATTTGTATCCCAGCTTCTCGAAGAGCCACGATGGTGTCGGGTACTCCCTCCTGCAGCCGATCTTCAATCCCTGTTGCTCCTGGGCAAACACGAAAAGAAGAGAAACAGTTTTCTTTCTTTGGAAATCACATTGCTATTTTCTTGTTTAAGGAAAGCTCTTTGATTTCCAGTCATGCTCCTGAACTTATCAAGAGTTGAGCTGAGGTATTGTCCAGTAAACAAACACACAGACACAAGATCTGCATTTGGATTAAGGTCTGAATGTGTCAGCAGTCAAGTTCTCGCTCTTCATTTTGCTCATTGCTAGAACAATGAATTTCATTTCTTCTTAATAATCCAAAATGACAATGTACTGGCAGAGAATCACACCAGATGCATTTTTAAAGTACTGCATTAAGTCCCATCAAAGCAAGCAGAAGAGATGAACTTTGAGTATTTAAATGAATGCTGTCCCTATTGTCAAGTTAGATTCTTCAGCCATCAAAGGGAGAAGAAACTGTACAGTACATTTTCTTTTTGAAAATACACAAACTTAGGAGCAGATGCCAACACTCATCCTGATGATGTTGGTAAATCACCATCTGAGAGTTGCAATACTCCTTATCTCCTCCACTAGAGGTCAGTTTGAAGATGCTGTAACTGTGGTACATTAAAGATAGGTATCAATTTAAGCTAAAAGAACACATTTTGTAAATTAAAGTATAAAAGCACACAAAGCCTTAGGAGTTGGCAAAGGTAACAGATTCTGACAAGATCTGCATTACCTCTTATGTGTTCTGCTGATGGCATTTACCATTATTACTCTAATTTTTTAAATCACTGCAGAGATTATGAGAAGCCATAATGCTAATAGCTTGCAATCACAGAAATTCAGGATAATGAAATATCGGGTGCAAATTGTATTCACAGAAAAATAAGACTGAGACAACTCCAAAAATCAAAGTCACACAGAACAAAATGTTTGGAAACAAAATAGAATAGAAAGCACTGAAGTGCTTCATAATATAACAGAATGTGTTGTTAGATAAGATAGTGATGGATGATGCAGAAGTGCCAATGAATATAAGTTTTAACATTAAACATCCTTCTACAGAGTGCAGACAGCAAACCCACCAATTCAACAACAGGAATTCACTGGCAAAATGCCAACATGTTTAAGTTACTGGTTTTTATAACACAGTTCAATTACTAGAATTCCCTTGGAACTTGTGCTCAAAACTGAAGTTAATTTCTAGTATTTTATGGGTTTATCTAAGGACACATGATTGAATAGGGGTGGTTTCATTATCTGCTGTGTCAGCTGAGCCACAGTAACAGCTGATGTGTGCGTTCTTTGCTCCTGGCACATGAGAGTTTCAGTGCACTTTTTCAAAGTTACTGCTGCTCAAAATGCACAAAAACTTGTGTAGACACTGTCATTGGATTGTATCTCCCTGGCCTGGAGATTTCCAAACCTCTGAGCAAGATTTTGGATATAAATTAGTATAAGCTGTTGTCTGTCTGATTGCCAAGAACATCACAGCAGAGCCAATGCTACGTCATGCAATGACAGTTGTTATTTTTAGTACCCAGCAAGGTGAGTTTGGTCTCCAGATGCTGTGCTGTCTCCAGTAACAGCTCCTCTCTGTTGTCAATTGCAGCTTCTGCCTCCCGACGAAAATTGGCCCATTTTTGAAAGTCATCTTCATTTAAGACCTGCATAACACAATTTAAACAGAGCTTATTTTAAATTTAAATAAGAGAGGAGTGCCAACATTCAGGATCACAGAGACTTAACTCCTACCCAATCTGGTAAAGTACCGTGTCATCTTTAAAACAACAAACTCTTCCAAGAGAAAAGAACCAGTAGTTTGTACAAATGGCCTTCAGCTGAGACTCAAAAATACGACCTAGAGAAACTCTTGATCACACAGCCCTTAGCTGGGGCTCTGAACTGGAACACACAGTTTTTGAAGGTTGAGCTACATTTCTCCAGAGCTTGGATGTGACCTATTTGTTGCACATAGACACCGTCTGCATGGAAGGATGACACTGAGATGCACTAACCCAGGCTGAGGGCAAGATTTTTGAAAGCTGAATGCCAAGCAAAACAGAAGAGCGTTGGCTCCTCTGCAGATTTTTTGTTTCTTGCTTGGAAGCATTGTAGGGGAGGTCAGCTGGAGTTACCATAAGAGAAACAGAAATAAATGTTTTGGGACTGACTAAAAATCCATCATCTGGTCACACTGAAGAAAAAGGGAAGAAAAAGAGAGGCTGATCTGGCTGGTTCTCTCAGAAAGAATTATAACCATTAAATTTTCTAGTAAATCTGTTGACACATACAGAGATAAGCTGTAAACAATACTAGGCTGGTGCTCTCCCACCTTCTTAGCTATGCACAGAGTTCGCAGTCCATCACGGGCATAGTGGTCCAGGTGTTTCTGTGTTTTTTCTTTTATTCTTTTCATTCTCTTCTCAGCTAAAACACAAGGAAAAGATTCTGTATTTTAAGCACAGATCATTTCAGATCTAATGGCCTAAGGTTAAAAAACAGTGGGCATTAGAGAAAGTGGGTTCCAGTATAACAGAAATCTCTTTCAAACTCAGAACTGTTGTCTGTACAGAAGCTGAAAGCTTGCTAATCTTTGTTTCCTGTAAGATAAAGTTACTTGTTTTTGTTTGTTTGTTAATGTTATAGCAATCTTGCTGACAAGCTGAAAAACAATGGTCAGGCCCTTCTGACAGTATTATTGCAGAGTACACAATCCACATGGGTTAGCGCTGGCAGGGAATTTTAATTAGCCCATTCCATGTTCTAGGCAGTACTGAGGTTAAATAAATACCTCAAGCATAACACTAGAGGAAGCTTATTCTTTTTTTTTTATACTTCTAATGGCTAGATACAATATTTCATGCAGAAAAGAGTACTGAATTCTTCTTTGTAGGAGACACAACAGAAATAGCTCCCTGGCCAATTACCCGTGGCAGAGTCTTCCAGCAAGTCCATGATAACAGAGTCAGCGCCTTTGGTGTAGACAACGATCTCCTTGGTGAGGGGGTGCCTCACCACCACAGACATCCTTTTCCGGACAGAGTCGAAGGGCAGGGTGTGGAGGATGTGGAAGGTGAGCAGCGTGCCCTGGGGCAGGCGCACGGTGACCTGCTCCGGGGTGCGGGACACCAGGCTGACACTGTAGGCCCTCGCCGCGTGCACCAGCGCCGCCTCGTCGGGGCTCTCGGCCTCGTAGCAGAGGGCTGGGGGCAAAGAACCGCTGCTCACAGAGTTAAAGACCTCATCCAGGGAAGCGCTGCCCACGTCTGTGCTGCCCCTGTCCTGCGGCTCCGGGGCTGCCCCGCTGGCACCGCCAGCCAGGGCGGCGAGGGAATCCTCGGTGCCCCTCGCACTGAGACTCGCCCCGAGCTCGGAGCTGGACTGGGACGATGAGAGGGACTGGCTGAGGCTTGCTAACTTCAGCCTTTGAAACATCTGATGAATCTTCTCCAGGGTGATTCCTGAAGGTCTTATTGGTGGCGGAACTGTGACCTAGAAATGTGAGAACACCTGTGGTTAAAAATAAATAAATGTGAACTATGAGATACTTCTCAAAACTTTGGTATGTTTTGCTGTATCTAAATGACAATAATTATAAAAGAAATTTTCTCCCCAGCAACCTATTTAAACGTGGTGGGAGAATTCACCAGAGGAGTCATAGGTGAGTTAGCATCCAAAGTTGAGCATGATTTGTATCTGCCTCTGAAGCAGAGATACAGTCAAGACCCTTGGAGGTCTGTCAGTGGCCTGGGAGATCAGAGAGAACCGAGTATGTTCTACATACTTCTTACAGCAGTGATCATAGAAAATCTAAAGGAAAAAGTGCAGATTCTGTGGTAGACATAACTATTCATCAACCTTAAAAAGTCGTGTTAGAGAGGGATACATAGGCAGGGAAACAGTAAAAGGAAAAAGAAAAGGTAAAGAAATGAGAGCAGAGCTCCCAAACAAACCATTTTTCACCATTTCAGGTTTCACTGAACACTGCTCTATGTTGTTAAATGGGAGCATAATCAATTTTCCTCATACACTTGAAGTTAGATTACCCTTTGTCTTGGCTCAGTAGCTGTGGAGACCAGCACTGTATTGCAGATGGCAAGGGCAAGAAAAAAGTCAATAAAGGATGTGGAAGTTCTCGTATGGATAAAAGGAGAAAGACTTTCAGCCTGGAGTGCAGCTTCTCTCACTCTCCTCAGCAGCCTGCTGTCGGGAGTCACATCCTTTTCCTGCAAGAGAAATTACTTAGTGAGGATTATTCCCACTTTCCCTTGGCCTCAAGGAACAACTGACAACTTGATAGACTTCTTGCCTCTTACTGAATTTACACCTAGAATTATGTAAGGTAAATGCCTTTTGTACTTAACTTCTAGGGAAAAAAAGATACATTTCTGAAAGCTGCATAACTAGAAAATTAGAAGGAAATGAATCTTGAAATAGAAGAGGATTTCAGAATTCTATTTCTTTTGAGATTTATTAAAAATCAAGAATAATCTATACTGTATCCTCCAACTTTGAAACTGCTGACTCCTGAATTAAAGGGCATTCCAGATGGAATTATACTTGGGATCTTCCATTTCAGTGTGGAAGTTGATCATTATTTCAACAGAGAATATTTTGTGCCTATGGCTTAGTTACAGCAGCATCACTTTTTGTTTCCAGAGCAACTTCATTTTGCACCCAGAAAGAGAAGCTGCCTCCAGCTTCTCCTCCTGAATTCTTCCTCAATTCTTACAATAAATAAATAAATACATACTTGTTCCTGAAATGTTTCTCTAATTTTACTACCACACTCTTTCTAATCAAACCTTATTTTGCAACCCAAACTACTAAAGAGTGTCACTTATGTACAATTTAATTTGCTGTAGGGCTATGGGACTATTACTTTTAATGGAAATTTCATGTTAGCAGAATCTGGTTTGGGTTTAATTCAGGGCCATATTTAACAAGGACTTCTAAATTTAAAAGACAGCTTCCTGTGAGCCAACAGTTTTGGATGTCTTCTCTGAGGAACTGCCAAATTACTGAGCTGCTTTCTAGTTGCTCTCAGCTCTCACCCTCTCTTGGTTCAGTCTGGCACAGTTTTCCCCAGCTCTGTACAATGACAGCAGAAGTGCCCCAGCCCCTTCAGGGCTGTGCTGGGCTGAATGTGCTGCTTGCTGAAGTCAGGAGTGGTTCAGAAATAATCCTAATAATTGCAAGGAAATCCACTGCTCATTTTGCAGCTCAGTTGAAATCCAAAGCTGGAACAAGGCTTTTCACTCTCCCTGCCGTGGAAGGCTCTGGTTCTTCTGGCTCAGTGTTTTCAGGCTTTTTTGTTTCACATAAAAGGAAATGTTTGCAGTCCTTTCTCTAGCAAACTAATACATGCTAAGGATAAGCGTGATTTTTTAGTTGTCTTCTCAGACCTTTTAAAAGGAATCAGAGACTGAAAGTAATAATAATTTAAACAAGTCAATACTTATCAGGAGAATTTTTCTTTTTTTTTTTTTCCACATTCAATGAAAACAAGGCTGACCTGAATTTCCAGCCTGAAAATATATAAAAAACTCTAAGCAAACAAAAAAGAAAGCAAAATAAGACAGCACTAATGGTGATGATCAATTAAATTTACCACCTTTTTGATGTTAGCAATTTTGTTAGTGAAAATGGTGCTATAAAATGGCTGGTGCCATTCAGTTTTTAAGATTTCCTCATTAACTTCATAGCATTTCTTCTACATGGTGGCATTAAAACCTGATAACAATAGGACAATGGAAATCTTCACGAAATGTTTCTAATAGCAAGGCACTACTTATTGGAACTATTAAATCTAGAAGGAAATGTGCTGTCTCTATCTTAGTTCATAAGAACCCCTTAAGGTAGAGAGAGGAAATGGTAATTCTTTATCCTGTTCCATTGTTCAAAGATGGATTTTTCTTCAGAACCTATGACTGCTAACATCCACAACACTGTCTGTACACCTGGAATTCTCAGGATGCTCCAAATCTGGAGCAAAGCACAAATACATCAGACAAGGATATCCAAGTTCCACAGGGCAGGAACCATAGAGACACTGAAAAATTTATTATCCCCATTTTATTAATAGGGAATTGGCATGGCAGGTAAAGCAGGATACTCCTGTGTGTCATTTAAAGGCCATCAACATACAGGACAGCCTCTGGGCAGTATCTAATTGTCTCCTCTTTTACTACATCTTCAGATTTGTCATAGGGGCCAAACGATTTATCCAGATAGAGTGACACCTGTGAGTCCAAGGCAGCAACTTAATCTTCCTCTGCAAAGGAGATATTTGATACCAGTTCCTCAGATATTGCTTTTACAGTGGAAAAAAAGAAGTTTATAGAAGAAAGTGAAGAGGTCTATCAGTAAAAAATCTAATTGGGAAATAAACTGGTAAGAAATTTCTTTATCACATTTCAAAATCATGACCTATAAGAAGTTCTCAAAATTCACAAGTCATGGGTTATCAAGAATCCACGGAGATGTTCTCAACATCTCATGAGAACTGGGCTGGGGAATCCTGGGATAGCAACTGTCAAAACTCCCATATTACAAGATATCTACTATATGACAGAGGAACTGAATAGGGTAAGAAGGATCTTATAATGAACAACAACTGCAGAAAATGAAGCTCTGAGAATTCTGTATTTACTAGACTTTTTTTAAAACTCAAGATTTGGAAGGGTTTTCCAGGCCTTTAATTTTAATTGGAATTCTAATTTTGAAAGTGTGTGACCTTCTGTTACTGTTCACAAAACCCTCGTCTGAAATGCCCGTTAAAATAAAACTTTCAAGAAGAATAATTCATCCTGACTTTAATTAGGTCACGTTACATTTTGGGAAGTTTCAGGTCTAAAATCCAGCAGAGTCTGCTCCCCCCTGGCTGCAGTCTGCACCCTCCAGTCCAGGACCCCAAAGCTTTGGCTGCTCCTTCCCTCTCGGAGCTCCAGCAGGGCTGGGATTTTCCTGCCTCCCCGCTGGCTGCCCAAGTGTGGCACAGAGGGTGACGGGCTCAGCCCGTGGTACTCACGATGGTGCTGCTGAAGGCCACCTGGGACTGGCAGCTGTCGCGCCGCCCCACTGCCCTGCTCCTGGCGTGGCCCTGGAAGCGAGCCCGGGCGCTCTGGCAGCGCCGCAGGGCCCTCGCCGGGCTCTGCCGGGACCAGCCCGGCCTCTCGGCGGTCATGGCAGGGAGCGTGAAGTGCTCGGGTTTTGCAAAGTCCTCCTCGTCCAAATCCAGCTCTTTGTGGGTTTCCAGGCGCCTGGCTGGAAAAGACAAAATGAAACCTTACCTCTTCTGCTGGCTTTTGGTTGGTTGGTTGGTTGGTTTGGCTTGGTTTGGTTTTGGAGGGGTTTTTTTTTGCATTGCTTGGGCGGAATTCCTTGATCAGTTAAAAAAACCGGAACAAACTAAGCCAAAGCAAAACCATCTCAAAAGCCAGCACCAGAAAAACCTCAGTGTCCACTGCAGTTTCTGGCAACTCCCGCTGTTTATTATTGCAAGAAAACAAAAATGTGTTTCCAAAGCAATCCATCACTTTTATGGACTTGTGCTAATGCTTGGTCTCTTCGGCTGCACTGTGCAGTTGACTGGACCAGGAGAGTGAAATATGGTAGGTCACAAATTCGCTAATGTTTTCAGTCACAGAACACAAACATCTTTTTGGCAGCTGCCTGCCAGCTGAATAAAATCCTTTCCACCGTGTGGATTGAGAAAGTATCGACCAAGGAGGGGCCTGGGTCACTCAGAGCCCCGAATGCCAAGAGCCCTGAGACACAGACTGTGGGCAGGGCCCGCTCAGGACTGTGCTGGCTGTGCTCTCCACATCACACACAAGTGTGGTAATTACTTTTGGTCCCACTGAGTTTAATTACTATCATTTTGGAGCTTATAAAAGGCTGAGTGGTGTTCATCTAGAAATGAAAGAGGAAATGTTCTCTTTGTATGCTCGAGTGGGTATTGAATGCAGGGCAGAGTCTGAGGTGGAAAACCTTTCCCATCTGACTTCTGAATCATTTAAAACACCTTGACTTCCGTGAATCTCTAACAGGAGTCTCTCAGAAAATGGAGAAAAATGCACAAAGCTCTATGTTCAATTAGAAGGCTCAGTAGGTTTAAGTATTAATATTTAAATTAATAGCATTTAATTGCTCAGAGAAAAAACCCAAGAATAAAAAAGCATCTCTCACCATTTTCCTGATGGGAAAACTCAATTCCATCAACAGTACAGCGTCGAAATACCATTTTGTTTTCTGTTAGTGTCCCAGTTTTGTCTGAGAAGATATACTGGATTTGTCCAAGATCCTCAGTAATATTTAGGGCACGGCACTGGATGGGCAAATCCGCTGCTTCATCATACAGGTCAATGTCGTTGTGAATTAAGAAGACTTGGACCAATTTGACCAGCTCAATCGACACATAAAGAGAAATGGGGATCAAAGTCTGAAAGAGAGTTGAAATTCTCAGTAAGGAGTGAGACAAGTCTTGCTGCTTTCTGTCAGCAGTGTCCTGGCATGGGCACACTAATGATTTCCACAGAAACAGTTCTTCCTAGAGACATGTTGTAGCACAGATGAATAACAGTTCAGGGGGAAAAAAATCCTGCACACAATGGCAATGGATAAACAGAGACAATAAGTGGCACATTTAAGACAAAATTCCTATCATACCAAATTCTAAGATGTGTCTTTCAGAGGATGCCCTTACAAAGCACATTTTCTGGACACAGGACTATGCTTGCCCTTATCCTTCTGAAACTCTGAAGGGATGCACTAGCACAGACTGAGTGCAGAAAAGTTTCACAAGCAATTACTTGGCACACACTTCCCACCCACGAACTTCCTTGCCCTGAAATAATAATGAATTCTTAAGATGCACAGATATTCTGTTTCAGTAATGAAGAATAATCCCCCAAGGAATCTCTGAGCAGCTCTGAAAGTTATTTTCACATTTCACTCATATTAAAGAAATTCTGTCCATTTAAATCTCAGCAGTGACATCAAGAAATCTGAAAAGTAAATGTGATTTTTTTTTACCTCACCCAATAAAATGTTCTCCCCCAATTAAGCTTAATCAGACTCAGATATACAAGTATCCTACTTCTAATTTAGCTTCCTTCCTAGACCAGCTGAACCATAACTAGTTATTATTCCCCACTGGCAAAAATGACAATTTTTGTTTCACTATTTTCCTGAGATGATAACTGGAATTATTATTTTTAAATTCTGTATATGGGGGGGGGGAGAAGGCTGACATTTGGATGTAAACATCCTCTTTATTGCATCTGCTAGAGATTCTGGAGTGAAAGATAAAATACATGTCTTTCCTATCTATATCCTTGTGGGGTTTCAACAGCAAGAAAGAAAAATCTGCAGTTAGAAAAAGAAAATAAAAAGAAGATACATTATTTCACATTTGGATAGTTTGAAATGCAGCAATTTTTTCGAATAGAATTAAGAAGGTACTGCACAGCTATTAGTTGATATTAATTGTTCATTAGTGAATATACTTAGTTTTGAAAAGCTTCCTCCTTGGAGGTAACAGAGAGGTTTTCATCTTTTACCTGCAGCAGGATTATCATTGTCAAGAACATGTAGAAACCAGCAAGAACTGGAGACAGAAAATTGCCATTTTCATCTGGGACATCATAGGGTGGGTGCTCCGAGAAGTTTCCAGTCCAAATGCCGTGTCCTGTGGGAATGAGGGACAGCACTGACATAGGCTGAGCCCCAAGGAGATGGACAGAGCTTCTGAAATGTGCAGGTATTTCTGCCTTGGCAACTCCACAGAAGGAACATTTGCAAAGCAATGCCCAGAGAACACAAGGCACACGCAGAGCTCTGGAGCACAAGCACACGAGGGATGTGCTGGTGAAAAACAAGCGCTCAGGGATATTTTCATTCCCCTCTCCCTCAGCAGGAATCCCCCAGGGCTCTTAGCTCTGCACACACCTTTCCTCATTCTACATCTTGCTGCTGGAGGGCTCCATCTCTACCTCCTATCTGTAAAGATCCTCAGTGCTGAAAACACTTCTTTCTAACTGAAAGAAACCTTAGAACCTTCTTATAAACAAACTGAAACATTTCTTATCCTTCTTGACCATTCTCAGTTTCAATGTGTCTTCTTTAGAGTTGACAAACCCTCTATAATTCAGTCAGGGCAACTCAATTTTCCATTCCCTTCAATCAAATCATATCCCAACCTGCCTCTTGCTGTGTCAAATACCGGTAGACATCTGCTACAACAAAGCTCTGTCTCAGGATTAACAACATCCCATCATGATTGCTTTACCCCTTTTCCTCCTGTTCTTATGGAAATAAACTTTGCTCAAAGAGTTACTGAATATACAGTATCAGAAACTTCCTGCTGAGCCAAGGCAAACAACTGGCTTTCCTCGTAGCTCCAGATGCCAAAAGCCTCTGTGAGTCCCCTTCACACACCCAGCTCTGATCAAACTCCCATTAGCACCACAGAAGGAAGCAGTTGCTTTGCAGCATCTGCCTACTAAAAAGCTGCCAAAGATATTCAGATATTGCAGCAATGCTTTCTGGCTGCTAGAGACCAGAGTCACATCTGAGCAAGAACAACTCTGCTCTGCAAGCCACTTCTTACCCCAATTTATCACTGCGTGCAAGAAATCCCGCTGATGCACCGGTGGATTTTCTTCCTAGAACTCTCCGTTCAGACAAGGTTGCAAAGCAAGAACTCCTGGTAGAGCCTCGGGACACTTTGGATGGATGAAAGCTAATGGGCTTCTTACTGTTTCACATGTTTCACTTAGACTAACAACATTTTGGTTCTTTTTTTTTTTTTTTTTTTTAACCTGAGAAGATAAACTGTTTTCAAATGCTGACTTTTTCATCTGGGACTACTTTAAACCTTAAATTGAAGGACTTTATTACTCAAGGGCCCCTACACAACAGACAAAGACAAGTCTCTAAATCTACATGACAGCAGCCAGGGAACAAGGAAAATAAAGTCTCTCTCTCCCTCACACAGAGCTCAGTTGTCAAACTGAAATCCCATTTCGGTGCCAAAAGAGCCCACTGCAACATGAAGCAGTAAAATTAAAGAAGCGATTAAGTCAGTTCAATTGTTCATCTGTTTTGGATGGCTCCTACGTTCAGTGGTATTACACTGAGCACTGGCTGTGTGTCCCATCACATATCTCCAGGGCAGGTGCAGCAAGGCTTGGCAGAACCACGTGATTTGCCTTTGTCACTAAATCAGAGCAGCAGCACTAAGCAAGTTGTCACCGAGACAAAATCCATTAAAAAGAAAAGGGGCTCATGGGAGCCCCTGTTATCTCTTTAAAGCAGTGACCCATTCAAAAGACAGTGGATTTAAAATCTGGTCCTTCCCTCAGAATGATGAGATGCTATTAATTTTGACCTGCCAGAATTAATAGCATCAGACAGGTTGCAATCAGAGCTGGAAGGAAGCAGGTGAAGATGACATTTTTGAGAATAGCAATCCAGTAAACTCTAGGCAGCTAACCCTGGATACTGTATTCACATGTTCTCACCTGCAAGGACCCCAGACAAACACAGGCTGTTCCTACCTAAACAATTATTCCATCTCCCAGCCTGCTCAAATTCATCATTTTAACTCATCTATTGGAAAGACCAAGCCACCTAAAGACCCCAGGAGCATTCAGCTCTAGACCTCACTCATGTCTGTGAGATCAACTTTAACCACCACTTAGAAAAAGAGCAGTGAAAGAGAAGAGGATTTTTGCCAGTGCTTCCTACCTACAGCTCCAACGAGGCACATCACGAACAGGAGCCCCACGCACACCAAAATATCCCCGTTCATCCGCCGCTCGATCCGGCTGCGCTTGTAACGAGGGCCGTTGTTGTTCAGCATGGCCTTGGTTTCGTGGCCTTCAAAACACAAATCACGTAAGGTGATTTCTCTCACAAAATGAGAGCAGGATGACTAATGTTAACCTGACTCTACTTTCAGAACTTTTATTGCCCATCTTCCCATTTGGCTGAGTATATCCGTGACTACATCTAGAGGTTTACAAACGGCCTCCATTACACTGCAGATTTCAGCTGTCATATACATTTTGCTGTACCAACGAAAGCAGATTTAGTAGGATCACAATTCAAAAGCCAAATCTCCATAAGAATAAAAGGAACATGAACAATAATACTTTTTTTGTATTTTACAAACAAATTGCTTAGGTGCTATACAAATTCTTGAAACCTACATTTGAGTATTTTTCAGCAGCTATTTAAAAGCCACTAGACACATTTCATGTATTAACTTAAATAAAATTCAACAAGCAGTGAAAGACACTAATGTTATTTAGCTTTTCACTATGTGGTTGTAAAATGCTAAAAAAACAGTATGATGAGGAATTTTAAAAAACCCCATCCCTTAAACTTAGTGAATTAGAATTGAGCTGGTTTATTTGTAATGTAAAAAGAGGAGTGCTGTAAGAAGTTAAGAAGTAGAAATTGCTTTTTCAATTCTACTAATATTATCTAAACTGTGGCTCCACAATTGGGATGTCTGGACACCATCTGTTGCTATATTAAATGGTATTTTTTATGTTTATTTCTGCAGTCTTTCTCCCTGAAAATACAGACCCCTCAAACCCGTCTTTAGCTTTCATTTGTATGTGCATGGTGTGTGAGAGGGACTGCTTTCCAAGCTGCCTTTCAGCTTTCCCTGGGGAAGTGATTTAAACCCAAAGCTGGGAGTCAGGTGCGATTCCATCACACCTGCTGGATTCAGTCCAGCTTTACATCAGTGGTTATTAATTAAGGCAGAGAGCAAGAAAGAAAATGAGTCTCCAGCCTTATGTTCAGGACGTTCACCCAAGAGCTGGGACTCCTGCCTTCCTATTCCAGTGAATCTGTAATTATTTACAGAGCCTGGAGCCCTGTTGGTGGGCCCAGCCCTTGCTACCCCTGCTCCTTCCTCTGCAGCTGGTGTGGACACCCACCTGGGCAGGTGTTCAGTGTTCCCTGTGCAGCAGGAGGGGTCTGTTCACTCCCATCCAGGCAGCACTGAGACCAAACCCAGGTCCTGCCTTCTGTGAACAAAGCTCCAAGCACTGAGCTGCACAGAAGAGGAGGGCACTGCTGCTTGCACTTTGTTCCTCCAGCAGCTGGGTGAACCTTGTTCCTTGCTTTTCTTTTGTGTCAGGCTTAATGGAATGTTTTGTGCTGAAAACAAAACAAGCCCAAACCCTCTAATCCCTCCCAAAAATACTCAAGAAAATGACGAGGGATTTATTTCACGAAGAAAATGTGAAGGACTTTCTTTCCCAATACCAGTGCTACCATTCCTTTGCACTTCAGCTGACCATCAGGAGAGGGACACTTCTGTAATACAGGTATCACCTTACAAGGAACAGACAATCAGAAATATGAGGAATAAACTACTTTGTTCTCCTCTAATCCTCACAGTTTCCTTTGCTGTGCAACACAGCACCTCACCTACCACCCTACTAAAACCTTGTCTCTCTATTTCTAGATGCTGATGGGCTCATCTAAGACTTCTTTCTGGTACTTTATTATGTGAGAAGCATTTAATTCTTGCTGCTGTCCCTATCACAATGAGTAAACCACACTGGCTGTTGCTCTCTAATGAGGTTTTTGTGCTTTAGTGCTAATGCTTTGCATAGAACCATTTGGGTGGCCATGAAGGGTATAACCATCCTCAGGTCAGATGAGAAGTGCACAGGCCAAGCAATTGCTCTAAGTGATGGTTGTGCTCTTCACAAAGGCTTCCATTAGAAAGAAAGTCTGAGGAGTAATAGAGTTATAAAAATGGAAAATGTGCCCTCTTATAATGTGACTGATCTTGACTGTTCAGAAAAGGTCACAGACTATGATTAAAAGCCAGAGTATAATCAATGTCAAAGAACCCTGAAATGAAGCTGGTACTGACTCAAACCAGTCTAATTTTAGGAAAAAAAGAATAAACTTTTATGCTGACATTAACAATGAGACATCAGTTGGAAACTGAATTGAAGACTTACACAGATCAAAGCCACCATGTCGTGGGAACACCTTTAGAGCTCCAACCTTTGCTACCAGCAGCTTAAGCAGCAGCAACAGAGATCCACATGAGGATCTGTGCTGGTGGTCAAAGGAACATAATGGAGATCTTAATTAAACAGAAGAAAAATAGGAATTGCAACAGGAGAGGGGATGACAAGTTACTCCAATTCTATGGGGACTGCTCACTGCTGAGATTGTTGTATAGCAGTTCTGGTGGGCACCACCCTCACGTGTGGTGTTCACAGGGAACAGTGCAAGGCCACAAAGACACAGCTACCTTGGAAGCATATGGGAGCTATAGACATTTAGATCCCAGTTCTGCAGAACTGAAATAAGCAGTTGTCAGGGAAATTGTTCCCTGGATTGGAGCTTAATCCAATCTAAATGACTCTTGCAAAGTCAGTGACTTCTATTTTCTCTTAGGTGGCTCAGCCTTGAAACCCTTACTGCTGATTAGATATGAAACACGTGATATAACTCTACTGGAAAGATAAAAATAGCCAATGGGATTAATTGTTGTGTTTAAATTGACCTCTACTTAGTCTACAAAGAAGAGGGTAGCTGATGCACCCTGCCTGGAGCAGAAGAGGGCACAGCTGGCAAAGCCAATGATAAATCATGGTCCCTGAGCCAAAGCAGAGGTAACACTGCAAAGGTAAAAGATGCTGAGGAACAGATGAACTGAACCCTCTGCAGAACCTGGCACTGCTGCCTTGGATCTGGGCACTGGCATTGCCTCCCCTGGTCCATGTCTGTGCTGCAGGAATTCATGGCTGCCTGGACACACCGTGTCTATGTCAGCACACACCTGTGCTGCTGCTGCTGCCTTTCTGTCACCTCCAGCTGCTGCCTCCCTGCCTCCTGAGCGCTGGCACTGCCACAGATTAAATGGATGCATGACATTCACAGATGGAAGTCCTTTTTTGTTTTTCTCTGGGTAGATCTTCAGCTGCACCAGTTTCCACCCTGAGGAGCCAGTGAGACCTCCCTTAGGGCAGCTGTGTAGGTTTTATGACAGATGGAATTAGTATTACAGTCAGAGCTGCAGAGCTGAGGGTTAAACTCACCTCAGCAATTCTTCACTTGTCTGGATATTTTTGCAAGATATCTGACATGCACAAGGATACTGTCACTTGCCAGAGACCCAGTGCAAGACTTTCTGGCTTTGGAGATGGATGAGTAATACTCTAAAAAAAAAGTTCTGTAATTTTCTTCTGCACTCCCAGTTTTTAAAATTATGGTGCAATATCAGATTATACTTATTTCTTTAGGGATATTTACAGCAAAATTCTCTGTTTAACTGAATAGAAAGTACATCTTACCTGCATATACAACAATTCCTACTGCAGCCTCAGTATTTCTGATTGTACATCCACGGAGCAAGAGGCTTTCTATGTTAAAACCAACCCGTTCATGATTTGGCTGCTCCCTAGAAGAAAGAATATCAAATGAAGCAATTCCTTTTTCTCTTCTAATGAAGTGTTAAGCAAAATTGTTGTTCTCTTGTCTGTTCTAAGTTGAAATCAAGTAAGTTTGAAGGCCTCATTTTGCTTTTATTTCACTCAGCTTCAGTGAAGACTCCAGCAAGAAGTTCAGGGAAGAACAAATCTGTCTTTTAAGACCACTTGCAGAGTGTGTGTGTATGATGAGGTGGCCACAGAGCAAGTTTGGCTTTCCCTTGGTGCCTCCTCTGGCAGATTCAGCATCTCACGAGTGAAGCTGAGATACATTCTGTGACTTCCTATAGACACAGCTCTTTCAGAGGGCTGAGCAGGGTTTGCCTGCAGGTTGTGGTTCAGACAAATACATCTACACCTTGCAAGAGCCTCTGTCTCTCTGTCAGCCACCAAAGGGCTTCTCATCTCTGTGAACCTCAGGCCACTTGAGCAATCTCCAGGCTGAGATCTCTCCCTCAGTCTCACCCTGGATGCAAAACTTTTCATCTGGCTAAAGATGTTCCTTCACACACCAGATCCTTCTGCTCACAGAACCAGCTGATGAAAACCACAAGGTCAGTGCTCCACCAGGCAGGCAATTTGTTATGTGCCTCTGAAAATGAATGCACATGCCTACCTTTGTCCAGTTTTTATTGTACACTCTGGTAGTTTCCCCCCGAGTTCTTTACCAAAGCTGAGATTTTTTTACTTCACACACTCTGTCTTGTTTTGTTATGTAAATATCAGGTCAGAAAAGATTATTTTTTTCCAAGAATATGCATCTTTTGCTTCTTTGTGTTTGATGTCTGGCATTGCCTTTGCCAGTGAACAGCAGTATCACTCAGATGGGGGCAAGGTTGGGTGCTGCCTCAGGGCTGAGTACAGCCCCATGTCCAAGTGCAGCTGCACAGGATTACATTACTTAAAGCAGACAAGTGCAAAGGTGTAGGTGCCTACACCTGACAGAATTGTAAAAATCACGCCAGAAATCTGTTTTTCTTGGAATCTATCTCAGTCCTGGTGAAATCATTTAATAGAAGCCTTCTTGCACCCCCTGAACAGAGCTTGCTGTGGTCAGGCGTGTCAGAAGGATGTCACTAAGTTCTTTCCTGTCATTTTAGCAGAGGCAGTACTGCTACGATTTTATAGCAAGGCAAGAGAGCCTCAATAATTTATTAAGGGTTCTTGGAGAAAAAGGTAACCTGTTCCAAGTAATTTGTGTTTACAAAATAGCTCAAATCTCAGCAGACTGAAGATGGAATCTCTACTAACTGTTAGCGAGTAATTTTCCCTGGCAAATTCTTTCATCTACCCCTGAAGCAGGGAAAGAAAGGCAGCTAATTCCATATTCCAGCAAGCAGGTGAGATAATAGGCATTTACCAAAGAGATTTCTGTTACAGACTTTCAGTAAAGTTGAAGATTTTGAAGCCAGTCCTGGGTCCTAAGGGTGTGTATTTGTGTGTGTTTTCTTGTGACATATCCCCCACATTTCTGTAATCTCAGTGCTCCTGTGCTGTATTACTCAGGCTAATTGGAAGGATTGCTTCAATTTAGATTATACCCAGCGGTCCCAAACCAGCAAGCACAGCCAGCAATCAATAGAAACCTGACCTCTCTTTGCCTTTTAAGATATTGCAAGAGGAGAGAAATGGCATTGCTGTTAGAGGCACCATTCCTACAGGGCAGGAACTCCAGCCCAGATTAAACATGGTCAGTGCTAATGGGAGACAGCCCTGGGGTTCACTCTGTCTGGATCTGGCCATTTGCAGCTGCCCAGGGGCAACACTCACTGATTCCTTGCAGAGACATCAACTCCTGCTTTAGCTACAGAACACCACAGACCTGGGCTGTGGATGGGATGTGGCACAGTCAGGCAGTTCTACTGCTGGTGTAACGTGGGGCATGGATTTGGGACAGTGGGACATTTCTGTGGTGTGGTGTGGGGATTAGCATGGACTGGGACCTACTGCTCTGCAGAGCACCTTGGGAAACAGCTGCCCTGTGCTGGAGGGTAAGAGAGTTTTAGGACATGAACCATGTCCTTATGGTCCATGGAAGGGCTTAAGTCTGCTGAATTTGCTGGTATAGACTTCCTTGTTATGCCTGTGCCAGAATTATTCACTGAAGAAACACTAAAGAAAAGCACTTTTCCACACCAATCTAATACATTGGTTCAATAGGAATTTGCTTGTTTGCTTTTTCTAACTTTCTAATAAGAAGAAAACCCGGATTGCTTGTTAGATCTTGGACACCTTTTCCCTGTGGCTGTAAAGATGGAGAAACTAGAGCCATCAAGCTGGGTACCTTTAAACATTAGGAAGGATTTATATCTAAAATCTAGCCTAGTCTAACCAGTGGGTCAAATTTAAATGAGCTTATGTCTAAATTTTGAAGAGAGTTGAAGCCTTATGAGAACAGCTTGTATGGAACAACTGCAAACTCAGTGCCAAGCCTTGGTTCTGCCTCACCTCAGAAAAGGAGTCCAGTCTATGTTTTATGACTTCTTAATCCAGGAACAGGTAATAGAGACAACCATCAATATCCCCAAAATGCTTCCATCCAGTTCCTCCAAGAGAAATATTGAAGTTCAGATAAAAAATGCATTTACTGATGACAAGTACTTACATGTAACCTTTGAACTTATTGAGATCATTGTTTGGCATTTCACAGATGATGGTGCTTTGGAAAAATTCGGGTTCAAACAAAGTATTCTGCAAAAGAACATGCACTGAGAATTAGTGTCAAATGCAATGAGTATTTGAAAAGCCAAACACCAAGAGAAGCTTAATTTAGACCACCAAGGCTGGAGCACTTGCCCTGGGAGAGACAGAGTCAGTTTAGCTCATTCAGCCCGAAGCAAAACTTTAAAGACCCAAGATTTTCCTCTCTTGAACTAACAACTGGTTAAATTAAATGAAGAAAATGCTGTGTATTGGACAAGACATCACAGAGGCCCATTAGTGAAAACATCTGTCTTCATTTAAACTGAATATAACAAAGACAGTAGATTTAGATTACATATAAAGAAATCCTTCCCTGTGAGGGTGGGCAGGCCCTGGCACAGGTTGCCCAGAGAAGCTGCCCCAGCCCTGGAAGTGTCCAAGGCCAGGTTGGACGGGGCTTGGAGCAACCTGGGCTGGTGGAAGGTGTCCCTGCCCATGGCAGGGGGTGGCACTGGATGATCCTTGTGGTCTCTTCCCACCCAAACCATTTTGTGATTCTAAGATTCTATGAAACAGTTCAGATTCTTTGTGGAAGAGTAAGCTCAAATGAATTTTCTGAATATGTTAGAAGACTTATACTATGGACCAGGATGGCATAATCATAAAATAATTGACACAGAATGAGACAGAGCTTTTCAGGCTCAGGGCTCCCTCAGAGCTGGAGTGAACAGGGACACACATTTTGCTTGATTTCCCCAGTGTTCAGGGAACAGGCTGGGGGTTGGACTGCAGGAAGCTCCAGAGAGCAGGCAGCAGGAGAGGCACTTGACTGCCATGAGTGGGATTTTATTCTTAACTGAAAAATGCAGAGAACTTTGATTTTTGATTAAGAAAATGCAATAGAAATGGGATATGAGAAATGTGAAAGAAAATAACTATTGCTGTGCATTAGAATGTTTAAAAGAACTAAAACTCATTTTAATCCAAACTCCTCTGTCAGGAAAGCTGGAAATCAGCTCTGCTGCTGGGCCTCCCTACCCTTTTCTACAGCAAGCACAGTGCTTTCATTTTTACAGTATTTTCTCTCTCCTGTTCCTTTTTTCATAAGCAATACATGTGTTCTTTTATTCTTTTTGTTTAATATATATATACTACTGCAAAAAAATAAAGAATCATCTAAAAAAATAGTTGGAGGAAATATAAAAGCTTGAGGAAAATAAGGGCATTTTGTATACCTTCTGACCCATGTGGAGGAATAGTTTTAGAATCTCTTTTAAGAAAGATTGTTCACTTCTGCTGCATCTTGTTCAACTCAGTGAACTCAGCAGGAAAATCAGTACATATTTGGTTTTGTTAGAAAGATTTTACAACAGAAGAACAGAAAAATGCAAAGGTCACCCGGAATGCTCATTACTAACAAAGAAAACTAATAGGCTTCCAGCTAGAAAGCGGTAAAGAAGGATGATTCTCTCAAATACTTTTTTTCTTCTGATAACACGAATTCTGCATTTGAAAATTCAAGTCAAAAGTATCATAAAAGGAAAAAATAATAATCCTCTCTTATAGTCTTTTACAGGAAGTTTAATTCAATATTTTTGAGCATATCACAGAACCACAGAAAGGCTTGGGTTGGAAAGGACCTTAAAAAACATCCAGTGCCACCCCTGCCATGGGCAGGCACCTTCCACCAGCCCAAGTTGCTCCAAGCCCCGTCCAACCTGGCCTTGGACACTTCCATGGATCCAGGGGCAGCCACAGCTTCTCTGGGCATCCTGTGCCAGGGCCTGCCCACCCTCCCAGGGAAGAATTCCTAATACCCAACTAACACAACTCTCTGTCAGTTTGAAGTCTTTCTTCCTGGTCCTCTCACTGCATGCTCTTGTAAGTAGTCTCTGTCCATCCTCCTTGTGTCCTAAACTAAAGAGCTAACCCCAGTTCATAGGTATTTCCTGCATCTTTAAAGAGTTCACTTTACAGACCCCATTACATCTGAGGAGTTTTGTGCAGCACATGAAGCACAGGACAAAGCAAAGCTCAGAGAAGCAGGAGGCAGCTGGCACACTAAAACCTGCCCATGGGATACTTTGTGCACAGGGCAGGGGGGTGTTTAACCAACAGTGTTTAAACTCAAACAGGATAAGACAGGTGACTGTTCCAGCTCTGACCTTCCTGAACTCTGGCATCACCAGAACTGCCTCCCACTCTGCCAGTGGAACTGCAGTTCCTCTGCACAGACACTCCCAGGCACACAGTTTATCTAAATAACAACTCAAAGTCTACTGGAGGTGACCATGAAGAGTCGGGAGCACAGTCTGGCAGGGAAGCATTTTCTGATTTTCTTCCTCATATTCTGAAAGACTGAGACAGAAGTTTGCATTTGGTGTAACAGTAGAGCCCTCTGTTCTCCTCTACAAGGAAAACCACAAACCCTAATGTGTAAACTAGGCTGGCATGACACAAATGCAGCATTTAAAAAAAAAATGTTTTTAAAGTAGACAGTTTCCTGGTTTTCTGCTAAATCTCTACATATTAAAAATTTCCAGTGTTCCTCAGGAACAAAACCTCTCCCTAACCCTAATCATCACTGGAAGGCATTGGGAAAAGTATACTTTGTGCTATGGCAGCCAAACCCTGAGAAAGCCCCTAATTGTTCTTGCAAAGTAACCTCCATTTGAAGAAGCAGGTAACGCTGGATGAAGTGCAGCACCTGATCCCAGCCGGCCATAGCAATAGGGTGCTTTTCTGTAGTAAGTCTGGTTGCTCCCTGGCAGCTGCGTCTCACCCACCAGTAACCCCAAAAGATCTTCCTAATGGCACTGCTATTAATTGCTAAATATATGGATGTAATTCCTAGAATTATCTGAGGTTGTCTGCTCCAATGGAAAAATAATTTTCACATGCTACAACTCCTTAAACTTGTACTGTGTTATTTGAAAAACTGCCCTGCTGTGCTTGAAAAGATACTTATAAATGTAACAAGAACAACTCTCCTTAAACCATATTTTCATGTTTACTTCAGGTTTATCCAATGTGAGTTGAGAAAATACAGAAGTGTTTGAAAAAAGTAAATTATACGGTCTATGAAACAATAGTGGTTTCAAGCATTCAAACTGAATCTAAAAGTGATGTCAAACATATAATTTTTTAAAATTTTAATTGACCTTACCTTCAGTTCCTATTAAAATGCTTATTATACTCCTGTGAAAGATTCCATTCCCTAAATTTTTTCAACCCCGTGTGCCTTAGAGCAGGTCCCAGCTGAGCTGCCACACATCCCCCTGCTCAGACAGCGAGCGTGGTGCAGCAGCTGCAGGGGAGGAGCAGGATCCATCAGGAAGCCCAGGGCCACTTTGGCAGAGGGACCTTCCTGCAGCTCCCATGCAGAAATAAGTCCCTGAGCAGCAGTGGCTGTGCTGTGAGAGGGCAGAGCTGTGCCCTGTGCCCGGGCTGTCCTACCTGGCTGGGCAAGCCCATCACCACCCGCCGCTGCTTCAGGTTGGTCTCCCCGTCCAGGTTGGCGGTTTCCAGGTGGCAGATCCCGCTCTGGTCGGAGGAGTAGAGCAGCAGGATGTCTGCTGGGATGGTCTCGTTGCACTGCAGCTGCACGAAATCCCCCACTCTCACGTCCTTCCAGCACCTCTCAACGTAAGCACGTTCTGTCCTGGTGCATCAAAAACACGTATGGGAAAGGGTGACACCGGGGGGGCAGGACCCGAGGGCTGGGGGGCTTCAGAAGGAGAAAACAGGAGTTGGTGGCACACTGACTGTTTTCAAAGGACAACAGCTAGAAATTAATATTTAGACACTTCCATAGTATCACTTCACCGTATGTCACATTCAACCCAAATCTTGAAATTAAATAGAATTTAAAAAAACACAACTACAACTGAAGTTCTCTTTCGTTCTAGTGTTAGCCCTATATCTCCACAGCAAAAGCTAGAATGTAGTTCAGACGAAGGGAAGTATTTTGAAATATCTTATTGAAGAAATTTAGACACTTCATCAAAACCTGTTAATTTTTTTGACTGTGTGACTATGTCTCAGATACTTCCCAACATCAGCATCTAGATTCTGAAAGCACCTGACCTTGTTTCAGGTCTTTACAGTCTGTAACTCTCAAGAGGCAGTTACAAAGCTTGAGCTTAGTGCTCAGAAACAGCTTCAAAAGCTAGAAGAGCTGACAAATGACCCTTTAGAATTGAGCAAAAAAAAAATGCAACCAGAGCCCAAGTTTAATGGAAAAGTTAAAGTAAGAAACAAAGAGCTTCTAAAATACATTTAAAAAAAACACAAAGGAAAGCCTATGGGGTTCAAGGAAAAGAGATTACAAAGAGATTACTATTTCATCAACAGAACAGTGCTCAGAGGTTCAGCAAATAGCAGACTTTTTTTGACATTACATTTTCAATAATTAATCGTTCAACTGCTCTTAACCATCTAAGCCAACCGAAAACAGCACAATAAGTTTTAAAATTAGTTAATGGGAAAACTGCTCTGGCAACAATGGCTTGGTTCCTTTGACTCTTTGAGAGGAAATTATTCTTTCAACATGAATAATTGAATCATCTTATGCCTTGCTCTGTAAGAGGGAAAATGCTCATGACACTTTACCAGACAGATAGTAAAAGGCCTTTTGTAATGAGAGTCTTATTTTTGAAGTTTTTAATCATCCCCATCTATTGCCTGAAGAATACTGTCATTCAGTTAAGTGATTGTACCAGGAGAAGGGGAGCAGATAGAGCAGATGAAGTGTTTTGCCCCAGTTCAAAGCACACATCCAAGCCAGGCCGAGGGCTGCTTCCTGCTAACCTACTTTCCTGTTCTTCTGCAAGGCAGAGCCAGCCGTGGTGCTGCCAGGCAAACCCTCACACTTGGCTGCTGTCCTTTAACAACATCAGACACAGCTACCTGCAAAGGTTGTGCATGCAATTAAATTCTCTGTATTTCCCTGTGGTATCCACTTTCTATTCGAAGAAACAACCCCTCAACCTAGCTAATTAAATCCCTTTAATGCTGGGAGGTGTTTACTAAATGATGGTGCTGTAGCATTAATTTTTTCCTTCTTACATTAATTCTTCTTTCCTGACTTTTTCATTCTTTTAATTTTGTCTGACTCTACTTACCTGCATGTCCTTTTTCTTTTGCTCAACAACAGACATAAAAGAGCACATTGAGGAACATAGGTTTGTTGTAAGTTAATTTGATGTTGCTACACATTTTAAAAAACATCTAGATCAATTTCTATTTCAAAAGTATTGAAGCAGGTGTGTGATGTGTATTTAATGCTCCACAAAGTAGATACTGAGTTAATATAGCATATCAACTAAATAATTATGAATCCTTCCCATGCCAAACACCTTCTGTGTAGGACTCCTCAATTTGTTTGTTTCAAACATAAAAGAGAGAGTACAAAGTCAGTTCAGAGCCAGGGGATGGCCTGTCGTGCCTCCCTCGTTTGGCAGCCGTGTGCAGTTTACACATGATGTTTGCTGGGGCTCCTGCAGGGCAATCCCCGCTCCCTGCACGGCACCTCCTGCGCAGTTCCGAGCTCTGCAGAGCACACCTGGGGTTGTCTCTGCTCCCACAGTGCTCCAGAAGGGCCTCGCCCAGCTGGCTGTGCTCCCCATCAGCCAAAGAAACCATTTCAGCCAAAACAACACCCAGAAATCACAGATCTGAAACATCCTTTCAGTAATTCCCTGGGAAACACACATCACACATGAAGTGCCAGGGTTCTGCCCGTTCACTGCTTACAGAGGAGATGATGGCTCAGAAAAGCCAAATGACCTCTTTCAGATCAGAAGAACAGGAGGACTCAGCACAGGGACTGGAGTTCAGGAACCCCCAGAGCCCCAAACCTGCTCTCAGGTGAACTGCCTGTCCCTCTCTCCCAAAGAACATTCAGTTTGGTAGAGAAACACATTTTCTGCTCCTGACAGAACTCTTCGGTTGGAGCTGGAAGATTAACAATTTCCTGCAGTACAAAGGTTTTCTACAACTTTGTAGAGAATTACCAGTGGATGAAAGGAAGAAAAATACTTCCTGATGAAACTGTGCCCCCCATGGCAGCACTGGCCCAGCTGCCTGACAAGGTTTTTCAGCTGAAGCAGTTTCCTTCCAGCAATCCCTGTGACTGGGAACGCTGCCCATTTTCTGCTCAGTGATTAAAGTTCACAGCACAAGCTCTGGTTGCTGAACAAACAGAGGAGCTTCATAAATCCAAGATGTCTGGTGAGGAACGTATCAAAAGGGCAAATGTGTTTAACCAATGAAATAAACAAAATGGGATGACTTTCAATAGGTGGGAATCTGGAAATCTCATTCTGGTAGCGTTGGCATCAGGGCTGGGGCACATCAAAGACACGAGGTAAGATAAAAGTACCTTCTCTCCTTACCAGGCAATTCATCAACAGCACACTCCCAGGTGTTCCCCTGCTGTCCTGGGATAATGGGGAGCATGACAGTGCCCATCAGAGGATAGTGCCAATGAAAAGAGGTGCTTCCCTGGAACAGCCAAAGTGAAGTCTGCCAGAACTGTTATTGGACCCATCAAATCTGACCAGAAGAGCTGAACTAAATAGAGTTTATGAAGTCATTTCTGGGAAAAAGGATCATAAAAACACTCTGCTGCCATTGGAGATCATGGGGAAACTTGAATAAATTATTGACTTTATGTCAACAATTTGATTTCTTGTTCTTGGATTCAATAAAGATAAATCTCAAACAAAAACTGGGTCAAAATGGATGGTGAATGTGAGCAAATAAAAATTATTGTTCTGCTCCCCAAGGGAAATTAAATAAAAGCAATTTTTCACATGCACTCCACAACATGTCTATGTGTCCTAGATTGTCTTAGAGAAAGATCTTCAAAATCTTTATCACCTAAAAGCATTTTATCAGCCAATTAGAGTTCAATGAGTCTTATTCCCTTGCATTACTGCAAGCTCCATTTTGGGATCCTTTGCAGCTCAAAGTAAAGCTTGTTTTCTCTCCCTTTCACCCATGTTGAGAACACATTTGCTTAAACTTCACTGGGTTCCTTTTGTAAATTATAGATGGTTGTATTTAAGAAAATCTATTTTGATTTTAATACTGCCTTGAACAAAATGCTATTGTTACTAACAGGTAACTCCAAGGTCACTCAATGCCCTTAGCATGCATCAATCATTAGCATTGGTTTCTAAACACTCTCATTAACTTATGAAGTTTCTAGAACCCACAGTCTATATCAGATTTTTGGTGGTCATATCCTTACATGACTATGTAGCTCATGAGGTCAAAACCTACTTCCCTCTAGGTTTTAAAGGTATATTTTAAAACTCCAGACAGTAGGATGGATCTTAATACCATGAGGCCACAATTCTGCAGGTCTCTGAGTCAAAGCCACAGGTTTTCATTTATTTGCCCTTAATGTTTAGTCATTAACTCCTGCTGCTGTTGCTAAACCACTGCACCTTTTCTGGGAAGCAGCTTTAGATGCCTTGGCAGGTAATAGATCTTGGAGAAAGCTCTGATAAAGCAACACACAAACCAGTGGTAGCATTAGTAATGGATTTATGGATTTTCCTCCTCAGAGAGCACAGATCCTCACTGTAGCAATACACACATTCACAGCATCTCCCACCTCGCTGCTCTGACTCCCAGGAGCTGCTGCCTGGACCAGCTCAGTATTGACACTTTTCTTTTGCATTTAGTCAGCCCAGTATGTCCCGTATTTCTTCACCAAACAATCAGCACCCTCCTCATAAGATGATGAAATTCAAGCAGTGGTTTCAAGCAGTGTCATGGGGACAGAACACCCTGGAGGGCACTCCTGGCTGAGGACTCCTCCTCAGCTCACTGGGAGTTTGAAGAATCCCCTCAGCTTGCACAAACAGAAGGCAGTGTTTGGGCCATCACTAAACCCCACTGTTAATTCATGTACCCAGAGCCAAACCAGGTGCAAAATCTCATAGCAGCTGAGGTGCACACGACATCACAGCGTGACAGCAGAGCAGACCCCTCGGCAGGGCCAGTCCCAGTGGGGAACAGCACGGTCCTGCCTGACACTGGGGGACAGTGGGGGCTGTCCTGGGAATGCACCCACTGAGCAGTCCTTCAGCCTCCAGCTGGTGAGATGAGGCACCCCTGAGGTGCAGAAGCTTTGATATTTCTATATCTGTGCCCAAGAAAATTGATTGCAATTTTGCCTGAGGGAGCCCGGTGAGATTTCAAGTGGGACATAAGCTTTAGGTTTTTTTGGTGTATAAAATAAACACACTAAAGCCTCCAGCAGGCTCCTAGTCTTGTTATGCTTTGTTATGCATAAAATAATATGCTTTGTTAGAAAACAAAAATAATAGAGCAGAAAGTAAAGGCTCTTTAACAAGTGAAAACTCAGTGCTGCTGAACAAGACTTTAATTTAAAATATTGGCAAGAAATCTTTTTGCTTACAGTGCCCTTGGCAGGATGGTATTTTCCTCTCATCTTGCTTTGTACTTTACAGACTTTCAGGTTCACCCTGGGCTGAATGAGCTGCAAAGGATGTTTTCAGGGCCAAAGAGAAATAAAGTTTCTTTTCTGTTCTTTCTTTCTTTGCTTTTTCCCTTATTTCTTCTGAGATTTGGCAGTAGGTTAATTCCTGTTTTCAGGCCTGTCCCCTGCCCTTCTCTGCTGTCTTC